ATGTTTGTAGATTTTCTAGCCATCTATGGCAGAAATACTTTAAAACCAAATATTCTTATTTTTTCAAAGACATATTTTCTATACTAAGACACATCAAAAGCACATTTTGTATTCTATCATCGTTCTTGTCTATATTTTCTTTGAGTCAAATTTGATTCTTAAATTTTTGGCAACAATTTAGACAAACGTGGTTTACACATAGATACACCTTGACAATGAACGTGTAAAATATCTACTTTTTTTTTAACACAAACTTACCAACCACTGACTAGAGATCAAAAAGACCTTTACTTCTGAAATTGACACATGAATAACATTTTTTCAATTTTAAAAAATACTGATAAATCTTTCGAGATTCTAAAATGTATTTTATTACTGTAAAATAATTTATTATTTTCCTTTCAACTACAAATGAGCACAAATTAATTTTAATTTTTAATTTTAATTAATGTTTACATGTCTCTGACGCCTTTTATATTTGCTTTTCCTTTTTTCTTGTTGAGTGAGGGGAGCAGTTAGGAGAAGACATGCCTTCATATTCTTTTTCCCTTTCTTTCTCACCACCTAGACGAGAAAATACAGAAGCATTGGACAGCATTTAAACTAGCTTCTGCAGAGAACTCTTGATTAGACCTTAAGCTTGTTCAGGAGTTTGAGAGTCCTTAAGTCTTTGTATATTCTCTATCATTGGAAACCCTCCTGGCTGCCGTTTTATCTGGATTTTCATTTGCACAGGGCTTTCTTTTTCTCGCTGCAGCCTTGGTTCTTTTGATTGCAATCTGGTCCTCTGTCGGCAGAGATTTCTTTTTGGGTGGCATATTGCTGCCATATGTGATAGACAACAATGAACTACAGAAGAACTCAAAATTGATCACTGCAATTTAAGTATTGGATTAATATCTAAGCTTACCTTTTAAAAGTTCAACGTTAATTCTTCTGCCATCACTTAATTTAAGGATAATTTGATGTATGTAGGACCTTACTTTCCATATAAACAATAATTTTTATTTCATGGGTGACTTTCACTGGATTTTGCAATTAATTTTGACTATTCCCAAATTTATTTCCATGTTATAAAAATTGTTATTGTACAAAAAAATTCGTTGAAAAAAAATCGCAGTAATGAAAACTTGGGAATCCAAAATTTCTGTAACATGAGCTATTGAAAGTTAGAGAGTTGTGTCCCTTTATTTAAAAAAGTGTGACACACTGACATTCACATTTATTATATAGATGACTAAAAAAACATTTCTGGGATTTGTTATTTTGAATTTCATGAATTGAGAAATTTAGAAACTTCCAAGACTTTTCAAGGAGCTTGAAAGGTATAGGACTGATAGTACATAAATAACATTGCTTAATTGGTTAGTATCCTTGCGCACCAAATGCAACAGGTGGCATGATTAAATCATTTCCTTTCACCACTGCCCTGATGTTTATTTGATAATAGTGACTTTTTATTTTTCTAAATAATTTCCTCTGTGCCATGATTATTTTGTTCCAGTTCATTAAACTTATATAAAAAAAATTTGGAGGGAATTTTTATTTGAATCAGCATGCTGATTTTATAAGTTGATAAATTCCTACTGGCATAAATATTACAAATGCGCTTATATTTGATCAGTTCAGTTATGTACCATATGTGATACATGCGTAGGTGATCATGTATCTTTCGATACATGACTGACGAGACAGATTTTTTCCCGCAGTAGGTTGTCATTTCTTTCTGCGGTAGACCAGTTCAAGGATCTAGAACTCAGTATGTCTTGCCATTTACCCATAGCTGGGGGGGTATAAGAAGAGGATTCATATCTTTCCTAGGGGTATTAGCATGTAAGTGAATATAATGGATTCAACTGGAATTTGAACTCAGCTCTCCAACTCTTCAATCTGTACCACTAGCCATTACTCCACCATGCCTCCTCGCTTATATTTGATACAATGCTAAAATGTAAGTTAGTTCTTTTGGGTGGAACAGTGATGATGTTATAAACTAAGGAATAAAAACAAATAATTCCAACTTACTTTGTCATCTGTTCTTGACGCTGGTGCCTTGCCAAAAATTGAGCATCTTTCTTGATTTCTTGAATGGCGCCTTTCATTTCTTTCTTGATTTTGTACAACAGTTTTTGCCGCTCATTCACTTCGGCACTAGAACCTGGAGTTTTCTTTCGCCGATGATCTGAGCTGTGACAACAACAGGAAAAAGAGAAAAAAAATTATCAAAGTTTTGGAATATGCAGAAAGAGCCTGAATTAAATGCAGGGGATTAATATCAACATGATTATAAACAAACCTGAAAAAAATTTAATTCATTTTATCAAAACCCTGCAGAGTAGACTGGGCTCTCTAGCCTTGAGTGGCAACTGGTCTAGGAGAAGGAAAACTCTGAATTTCAAATTGTGAAAAAGAAAACCAGGAAAACACTTCTACTATCCTAAGAATCCATGAAAATAATAATGAAAAGGAATTTATGGAGAGCCATGATTGCCTACATTCACAAAAAGTGACATAGCAAATACTAAAATAAAATTTCACTGGAAATTAATTTGCTAATATTTCATATCCGTGATGAGTAATTGTCAATATTCTTGTATTATTTCAAACTATTGCTCACATCTTGGCTGATATAGATGTTATTATAGACAACATTTCAACCAAATACTCTCTGGTCATTATCAGGTGTCCATTGATTGGCTGATATGGGATATCAGTTGATTATTGTGATATATTGTTCGCTAAATTGGTATGTCACCACCAGTTGCAAGGATGACTGTAACCAACTCCTATATCCACGATGCCACCATCCTAAGGACATTAGTGGTGTGTTTTTGGAGACTTTTATATTCAATATATGGTTTTTGACATTTGGTTATAATGACAAGTTTGTACCACTTTTTCAGTCAATTAACCTGATGATGACCAGAAGCTACTTAGTCGAAACATTCCTTATCCTATCATATACTTAGATATATCTTGTAAATGTTAATGCCTCTAAGAAAAAAAAAAACACAAAAAAAAACTGCTTTCATTCAAACACCACAGAGAAACTTTTTTGCTTGCCATCAGCATGGCTGATGCTAGACTCCCGCAAAACACATTGCGCCTTCTTGGCCTCACATTTTTCAACTGACTTGAAGTGGAGTGACTACATCAAATCAATAGCTGCATCTACTACAAGGAAAGTTGGATCTCTGTATCATACTAGAAAATCTTTCTCGTCAGAGTCCATTTTGCACATTAACAAATCTACCACTCGTCTGTGCATTGAATACTGCTGCCATATCTGGTCTGGTGCTCCTACTATTCATCTCAAGTTTCGTGACAAAATCCAAAGAAGGATCTTGACTTGGCATCTTGACTTCAGTCACTTTCTCATTGACATGGCATGGCTTCCCTTTGTCTTTTCTACAAATATTTTCATGGCAACTGCTCTGACAAGCTTTTTTCTCTGGTGTCCCAAGTACATGAATTTAAACATGCTGCTAGATTGGCATCTAAGTCCCACCCATTTACTGTTGAAATAGCTAGTTACTCCAACAGTTTCTTTTCTCGCACTTTTTGCCTGTGGAACCACCTTCCATTTACTTGCTTCTCTGATACAAAAATTTAAATGCAATGTCAATCGCCATCTATCTTCTTGTATATGGATACACCTCCAAAATTCTAGATGATCAGAGCCTGTTTGCTGATCTCTCCTCTGACCGAGCTCTAACAGTTCATTAGAAAGAAAAACTGGCTGGTTACATTCAATGCCTTGTAAACCAGAATAGTGATATATCATCATTGCTGATTGAACCCAAAACTTTCAACAATCACATTGAACAGATGTTCCCTGAGGAAGGCGCCATACATTAAGCTCCTATTGGGTCTTAAATTTAACCTAGCCCTAAATTGGAACTTGTAAGTATGATCCATCACTAAAGATGCTGGAAAAATGGTCAGTTCCCTGTACTGCTCTAGTAAATACCTTACTCCTCATACTATCCTCTACCTTTACAAGAGCCAGATCAGTTCAAAAATGGAGTACAACTGCTAAATTTGATCAAGAGCTGCCTTGTTTTCACTTTCCAGTCTTGACAGAGTTCAAAAGCATCTCCAGCTCTTTGTAGGTGATGGATTATTTTCCACTCTGCAACACTTTTCCTACAGACAAAACATCACAAGCCTCTCGCCAGTCTATCGCTATTTCTCTGGTAAATATTCAGATGAACTACATTCCTTAGTTCTACCAGTTCTAATCTTCACAGCTAAGACCTGTTATACCACACCCATTGTAATGAACCACTCTTATTCCATTGGTAAGCTCAATTCAATCAGCTTCTTCCAAAAAATGGCTACTTTGTGAAACCAACTCCCAAGAGGATGATTCCTCGATCACTAAAATTTTAATGTGTTCAAGTCTAGAGTTAACCATTATCTTCCCCACATAATCTGTGCCTCTTACTCTGTAACCCTCTATCCCAAGTGGCACTTGGGCCTTGTACAGGGTGATTATCATTGTAACAAAAGACAAAAGATCATAGAGGAGGACAAGAGTGTGATTCTCACTGGGTGATCAAGAATTGTGGCCCTGACTTAAGATATATTCATAACTATCTATGATCATTTATGGGAAGTCTCTTTCAGAAAGCAATGAAGCAAGGAGGGTAAATTTTGCTTGTGCTCTTAATTTGGTTATCTGCGTTGCTTCAGAAAATCATAATCTCTTTTACACTGACAGCTGCAAAAAAAGTGTCATTTCCAATAAAATTTGTTTTACACAATTGAAATTGACAGTGAATAATAAATATTTTGATATCTGTCCAAATTTATTTTCATCTAAAATAATCATTAAAAAGTGATGATCAGGTTTTTCTTTAGCAAATAACAAATATATCAGGTTGTTCTGGACAGAGAAGAGAATAATAACCTCTACAAGATTAACAAAAATTAAATGAATTTTTTCAACATCATCTCAATATTATTTGTAATGAAAAAGCCTATTGTAATGGTTTATTTTAAGAAAGAGAAAAGAAGACAAATGGAGAGCAAAGAGCAGGAGAGGAAGAAAGTGGAGAGAGAGAGAGAGAGAGAGAGCGGAGGAAACGGGAGAGAGAGAGAGCGGAGGAAACGGGAGAGAGAGAGAGAGGAATGGGGAGAGAGAGAGCGGAGGAATGGGAGAGAGAGAGAGAGGGAACGGGAAGAGAGAGAGAGAGAGGAATGGGAGAGAGAGAGATTGAGGAAATGGGAGAGAGAGAGAGAGTGGAGGGAATGGGAGAGAGAGAGAGAGGAGGAAATGGGAGAGAGAGAGGAGGAATGGGAGAGAGAGAGAGGAAGGAAATGGGAGAGAGAGAGGAGGGAATGGGAGAGAGAGAGAGTAGAGAATGGGAGGGAGAGAGAGAGAGGAGGAAATGAAAGAGAGAGAGAGAGGAATGGGAGAGAGAGAGCGGAGGAATGGGAGAGAGAGAGACGGAGGAAATGGGGAGAGAGAGCGGAGGAAATGGGAGAGAGAGAGAGAGGAGGAAATGGGAGAGAGAGAGAGAAGAGAGAGAGGGAATGGGAGAGAGAGAGGAGGAATGGGGAGAATTAAGGAGGGAATGGGAGAGATCCATATTTGGGAGAGAGAGAAGAGAGAGAAATGGAAGAAATGGAGAGAGAGTGGAGGAAATGGGAGAGAGAGAGAGCGGAGGAAATGGGAGAGAGAAGAGGAAATGGGGAGAGAGAGAGCGGAGAATGGGAGAGAGAGAGAGAAAAATGGGAGGGAGAGAGAGAGAGCGGAGGGAATGGGAGAGAGAGAGAGGAGGAATGAGAGAGAGAGAGCGGAGGAAACGAAAGAGAGAGAGAGCGGAGGAAACGAAAGAGAGAGAGAGCGGAGGAAACGAAAGAGAGAGAGGAGGAAACGGGAGAGAGAGCGGAGGAAACGGGAGAGAGAGCGGAGGAAACGGGAGAGGAATAGAGAGCAGAGTAGAAAAAAAGAGGAAAGCAGAGAGAGAAAAAGAGGAAAGAAGAGAGAGAAAAAGAGGAAAGAGAGAGAAAGCATCAGGGGAGGAAAGGAGGGAGAGAGAGAAAGTGTGGAGAAAAGGAGAGCGAAAAAGAGGAAAAACGATTTTCTTGGCAAGGTACATATTTAAGTAGATATTATCCAAGTACTTTCAGTTTTTATAAGCCATTATCAAAGAATTTTGTTTTTGTGTTATGTTGGTTTCAAACATCACATCATGTCAGTTCAAAATATAGAAAACAATAAATTTTAAAATATCTTTAACAAAGAACTTTTTAAATTTGAACAAAATTTGTGTATATGTGTATATATGTTAGAGATAAAGATTTGTTTTTTCAATAAGACCGTTGAAATTTTATAGCTGTAATATAGATTGTAATTTTGTACAGAATTCAGTTTTATTTAATAAAAATATTTGGATTATCAGCTTTCCTGATAATAATATCTGGGTTTTCTCCAACTGTGTACAGCTTTTTCAAAATAGGATTGTTATTCAAAAGGGTTTTCTAGTTATTAAATCCATTATAGATTTAGTAACTGGAAAATGCTTTTAAATAACAATCTCAACTTGAAAAAAGTTCCACACAAAAAAAAAAAAAAAAGAAAAGAAAATTACAATCTATATTACAAAAATTTATATATATTTAAAAATAAAATCACATGGAAATTGGCAATCTAATCCCATGGTTTTTAGCTCATGACCCACTCTGAACTCAGGTTTTTTTCTGGCCATGAAATTATTATTGCATAAAAAATTACTTTCATTTTACAAAGAATATATCCAATTATAAAATTTCTGTAGCCCAACTGAAATTTTCCATGGCTCATTTTGGACATGGGTTGGAAAACACTGGTCTAATTGATTATATGGAAGTATCTTCATAGTAAAATCATTTCCAGATGCCTCAACATGGAGTAATCGTTAGTAAGACTAGTTTGGTTGACCCCTTCTGAGTACTGAATTTGATCCTCATTGGGTATCTCATGAAAAAAATTAAATATTAAATAATCTAACAAGGTTTGATATGTCATAAAATCAACCAATGTATCCTAACCTCACTCGTAGCTGTCAATTTTGAGCTTTCCACATAATACCAGTTCATTGAATACAGTTTAACATTATCATACAAATACGGTAATTCTGACCAGGAGAAAAACGGTTACTGATATTCAAGGAATTTTAAGAATTAAACCTTAAATGATATGGAGTTACTGAAACCAAATCTTATTCAATAGTAGATGAAAATTACACTTGGAGACTGGTCAAAAATTAACCAGTGATAATATTCTAAAAAAAAAAAAAAAAAAAAAAGTTATAATAAAAATATAAAAAAGTAAAATTTTAAAAAAATCCCAAATGTTTGTACAGAACAGAGTTGCTCAGAGTAACATTAGCAAGGAGGTGCTGAAAATTCTTACTAGAAAAAAAAATTGAATGGTTGGTCATCTAGGCAGATTTGGGGATCAGACTGAGAACTTTCTGGCACCCCCTCCTAGCAGACTTGGACTTATTTTGG